TAAACAAATATCATGGTTGATTATAAAATAAATATATCCAAAGTGTCCAAGGTAAATACTTATTTGTAAATGTATGTCACAATGAACTTACCACAGTACAATTAAACCTATATCATGAAGGTTCATGGTACCACGGTAAATAAACTAGCAATAGCAATATCACTGGAGGCATAAATAAATTATCACACATTCAGGGTCCCACTGAAGTACTTGAAAACACTAACAACAATGTGTTGAGGGGTTAGATAACACAACCTATTATATAAAGATAAATAATTGAACAAAATTCACGAACAAGTTCAATAAACATCTATGCAACTATGAGATGCACACCTTTCGAGTCCCAATGAAACACATGTATAAGCTTAATCAATTCTGTTGAGCAGTTTTTGTGGAGAAGAGAATACACTTAATCCCCTATTTCACTATCATCAGAGAGAAATTCAACACAATTTATCTAAGTTCAAATGTCTCTAAACATACAAAAAATTATAAAATACGAAAACAAAACATGAGAAGCACACCTTTAGAGTCTCTATAAAAGACATATGTTAGCTAATTGAGTTTTGTGCAGTGGTTTTTGAGGAGAAGTGGATAAAGTACACCCCCTGTTGTATGGGACGAACAGGATGAATAGAACCAAATTCAACTAAGTTCAAACATCTGTAAAAGTGACAAAATTAAGAAATTGCACAAAAAAATTATGAAATGCACACCTTTAGAGTCCCTACGAAAGACATGTAGAAGTTCATCCAATTCTGTTGAGCAGTTTTTGTGGAGAAGTGGATAGACTTCATCCCCTATTACACTATCATCATAGAGAAATTCAGCAAAATGTACCTAAGTTCAAATGTCTCTAAACTTACAAAAAAAACCAATAAAATACAAAAACAAAATATGAGATGCACACCATTAGAGTCCCAAGAAAGCCCATGTATAAGTTCATTGAATTCCACAGAGCGTTTTTTTGTGGAGAAGTGGATAGAGTACATTCCCTGTTTCGTACGGACGGACAGATGGACACGGAGGGTAACCCTATATGCCCCCAGCCATATATGGCGGGGGCATAAAAATAGCTACACATATTGATTCAAGTTTTGAAGTTACTTGAAACTTAAAATTGTAAATAATGACAGTAAATCAGATGCATGAGGTCAGAACTGTCTACATGATAGTCATCTTTCAATTACCCATACATTGTTGTCGCTGAAATAATTAACTGTATAGTTACATTCATGGATAGACATATTGTTTTGATAACATTCCCTGCTGATTGTTTCACAATGGAGTGTAGGTACAATTCATTCGAAGTGTTACATAAATAGTAGACCCTCATTAACCCTGGCAGTCTAGTGTCAGTCTATCATGCAATGTAATGACTCCACACACACAAGGTGAGGTGGGGTAAGTAACGTGTTTCAGCTACATTTGTCCAAAATGAGATGTTACCAAGGTTACCATGTTCTCTGATACCATTAAACTTGACATGAAGGGTGCATGCAGACCACACTACACAATATGTATCATCTAGACAGTGTTGGCCTCATCCAGAGATGCTCCAGTAATCACATAACATCATTGATCAGAACAACATGGGACACAACCACGCTGCACTGGGCTTTAAAGATTCTGATTCCAATAATTCAATATCGCAAATGGTGCCCTAATTTGGTAACAAAAATGTCCATATAAAAGCAAAAGCCACAAAGTTAATATCCATGATCACAATCTCCAACAAAAAATGTACTCTCTCACTCGGGATGACAGGGGTTTTGTTTGTTCAGTTCAATAAGTCTCGAACAAAAAGAAAGATCACTTATTCGAGAAAAACGCTAAGACAATTAATTGTGTGTATTCCTTGCACGGCAAGGATTCTTTTGAGCCAAATATCCATCAAAGTAGACCCAACAAATAAAAACTGTCCGTCCCATTCAGAATTAATAATCAATTGAAAATGACCACGTTTGATCTCTCCACCATGGTCACCGAGTTCAGCAAAAACAATCTCCAAACTTCACCATAATTTCCCTATACAATGTAAGAGAAAGCATAAAATTATCCACGGGCAAAAGTCATTGCTAGATCAATGATCCTATCTCTCGTGGCATTAAAATCCCGATTTGCAATGTGGTGATAACAGACCAAAGGGCTCTGACCGATTACCCACAAAATTAGACAGCAATTAAAAGCACAGTGATGCCTTCTATGGGGCCCATGTTGAACACAGCCATGTGAGATGTACACGAGAGGTGAATCGATTTCAACAATCTTATTTCCCACATGCGATCGTTATAAACTCTGTTTCAAGGATTGAACCAACATGCATATAATACACTATCAGCTAGGCCAGTTTTCCACCACAATAGCGTCCTGCCAGGAATCAATAGTAAAACAATAGTATTCTGGCCTTGTCTTCCGCTCCCAAGTGGAGAACGCAATCACATATCCAACTACGGTATAAAGATTTCAAATGTACAAATAGAGACTTTTCGACATATAACAAACATGGCAGCCGAAGGGCACTTCACAACAATGGCTTGAATGGGACTTGGGAGGAATCCTCTTAAATCTGAACAGAAACCATTTCATTTTGTTTAGAAATGGCAACCACTAAGCGCGCGGAAACAGCAGGTCACTGAAGTACAGCTCTAATTGTCGTATGTTAGAACCTATCGACCGATGCTAGTCAATGAAAAGCATCAACGAGTTGATGTGGATTTTCAGAGAATAGAAATAAATACCAATATTCATTGGGTATTTTTTTAACCGCGGCACCACTAAAACCTTAATCACGTCTAGCATTGTGCAGTATCAAAATCAAGCCATGTTATCCAAACAACAAATTTATCATCTCTCATCAACCAGAATAAAACCCAAATCGGTCCAAATAATCCAAATCTCTTTTCTCAGGTTGATGCAGTGTCTGTTCCCCTGCCTCGACGCTTATCAATCAAATGTCACTCCCAGTTTCTCTTGCTTCACTAGCCATGTAAAGATTATTTGCATTGTTGTATAATATAGATATCAAAACAAACTACAACGTGAACCCTGATTTTAATTTAAACAAAGACCCCAGGTCTCAGGTGTTATTTGGTAGGAAACAACAGAAAAAGCAATTAGTGACTTTGTTGCAGATTGTGAAAAGAACAAGAAGGTATTTCAACAAGATGAGTGCTTAACACGCCTTACGACTTGTGATGAAATGCTTTCTAACCACAAGGACCTATTGTGTGCCTTCATCTCAACTCCGCACGATCCATTTATGAACCTTATTGCTGGAAAAAAAGGGCAAAGCTTTAAAAATTCAATATCTTTCTTTGTAAAGTCCCTTGCAGCATTTGGCTAGACACACACATCAAACTGGGCCTGTCACATGTGATTTTCACTACTGAGACATTACATAAGCTGACTTTAATAGACGCAATGCTTGTGGTCAACAGTTTGCTTCTTATCTACTGAGATAAATCACTTTTACAATGGAAATTGATCAATATCAACCACATTATTTTACATTCTTTTTTGGTAAATGAGACTGATTTGTTTGATGTGGGAATAAACAAGTTTGGAAGCATTTCTAGTGATGTGCAGAAACGTTGTTAGTGGAAATATATTGATGTACAGAAAGGCTTAATTAAATATATGACTCTCATAACAAGAAAAAAAATGTTTAAGCAGCATCAAAAACAGTTCCTGCAAATTTGTTTTGTTGTTAAATAATAACAGAAAGTTAGACTTATAACCAACAACATCGTAATAGAATAGTTTTAAAGTCAGAAACTTTGTCTTCAATACCACCACATTGTTTTGTAGAATACCTAGCCTCTCATTACAGATCTTATTAATTTAATTGTTTTCAGTTGTTCAGTCAAAATGATGTCCCGGATTGTGTAGTGAAGCAGGTACAAGTAGGGAATCCAGATTACAAGAGAAAATGTCAAATCAAAACATTTTCCTCTTTCACACATTTTTAGACAAAAACTTTCAGACTTGATTTACATATTTATTTACATTTCAGCTTGACAAAATGAATAATTACTTAGAAAAGCTAATTCTATGCTGCAAATATTTTGTATCTGTCAAATATTTATCTTCAACTTTTGGTTGTTGTCAAAATAATATAAGCTCCTCAGATGGAGTCATATAAGCATTTATCTGTATACTACACTATCATTGTAAAACTATTTAATTTGTACTTTACTTACAAAAATACATAAATCATGTTATGATAGATATATTCTTGAGAGTAAACAAATCGTGTGAGGAAAGAATAGAGCAAATGAACAACTGATTAAGGAGGATTACAGAATGACATCATGATGTGTATGTTCCTGTGTAGGGTTAGAGCTGTAGGGAGAGAGAGAGAGTTTGAGATTACTGCCCGAGGCCATGGTAGTAAGGCCGAGAACCATTGATCAATAGGTTGTGAAGAAACACAGATTTGTAGAGTAAGGGAGACAACTCCATTTAACCAGCTGTGTTCTGATTCTGACACCATAGTGTTGTTTAAAAAAGAATAACGTCATAATTCTCAATGAAAGTCAAAATTGTCTTTGATGTTTTGACTTCATACACATTTATTTTAAAATTTGTTTTAGAAATCAGCAAACTGTGTGTTTGTTTTCTGCAAATATTGACTGGATGAATTTAAATATTTCAAACTTCCAACACCAATAAAATCCCTATTTTGTGAAGATTCTTTAATTTAATTATAAAATTGAAATATTCATATGAATATACTGAAAGATTGTAAAGAAAAACAATTATTGAAAAATGTCAGCATGACACATCTATGAAACAAAGAGTTCACCATTATATAAGTGTGTAATAATTTGTTTAAAAAATGTTTGGACAGTGGTGCGTTCAAATTTACATATATGCATATACTATAACATTTTAAATTAAACAGATCCTGCACATAGTTGTGTAGCCATCATTTAGCCATTTATGGTGTGCATTGCCTGAACCATTCTGAAAGGAATATGACACAAAACTCAACAAACCTGTTATGGCAAGATTATGATTGGCACCGGATGCTATGTACGTGACAGCTTTGTCAATGTCGACATCACGAGGAACTACCGCCTCTTCTCGGCTGCCGATTCCAATCTGACCATGGATGTTACTCCTGTCAAAGGAAAACAGGAAGACAGTACGATGAAGTACCTTGTTATCGGTTCCCGGCTTATGTGTAATGTATTCCTTACTATTTCATCAGATTCTTTCTTGGACGCACAAGAAGTCAGAAGATATTTTCCATTTGATTAATCATTCTATATATTCCCTATTACAATTTCCTCAAGTCAAAATGTTTGACAATTCTGAATAAAGAATGAAGATTCCAAAACAGACATTTTCACATTATTTTAACACCTTGTCAGTCAAATTCATATCTACATTTCCTAAATTTTGTATGTTTTTCGTTGTATGGAAACAAAACATACATCAAGTAATTTAGACACAGAAAACAAATGTATTCTTAAAATAAACCAATAATTGTTATCAAAACCCCAATCTCTACTGTCCATTTTCTGGCACCATCTATAATTTAAACCCTGGGGGTTTATACTGAAGAAACTAATCTTGGAAATATCATGGCTAAATAAAGGTTTCCCCCTTTGACTATGACTGAGGGAGTACCATGGCAGATATAGAGATTCATCATTGTGTTCCTCCATCATAACGGTCGGGGCATCAGACCTTATTAATTCAATCATTTTCATACAGACACCATCTGCGAGTCTGGGGAAAGCGTTTGCATGACAACTGCTTTCAGATATTGAACATTCAAGCAACAATAAATGAATGAACTCTTCTTTGGTCAAAATTACATTAAAAGACAATTTGCTGTCGATATTTTGAGAGATTGTGAAGGAAAGAAATTATAGAACTGCATAGGAATGACACATTTCTCAAAACAAAGGGTTCAAGATTACAAAAATGCTATTACAATTTGTTTTAAAAAATATTTTTTGCTCTAGTCTGCTGAAATTTACAAAATGTCCTCCCTTGAAGCTGTAATCCATTTACTGATAAAAGAAGATTTCTTGGATTTTGTTTCTTTTTCATTACAATAAGAACACATCAGTCTTATCCGAGTCAATATTAAGTTGGAAGGAGTATAATCCTTAACATGGCACGCTGTGTCATAAACAGAAATTGTTGTCTGAATGCAAACTGCGTGGATTTCTACATGTAACGGCATAAGAGGTGACTAATCGGGTGGTTAGACTCACTGACCTTGTTGATACATGTCATCATGAATACGCAATGCAGTTTAGAAAGTGGTCAAATGTAACACATGTTATCTTTGGGATTACACTTTCATAGTAAAGTACAGTACAGATTCTAGTACTTTTGCTGGGTTGAGTCCAATCCGGGATTCGAACTCTCAGATTCAGTCACCTCCATGAGAGATGTGCCAATTTACATTTTTCAGAGGGGTATACAAAGTCCACAGTCTAGACTACCAGTTGTCCAGCTTCCATTTTTGTGGAAGCCACGGTGGCTGAGTGGGTTAGGTGGCTGACTCTAAGGGTGTGGGTTCAAATCTCGGATGCAACTCAATCTAACAAAAGTACTGGAATCTGTACTTTACTAAGAAAGTGTAATCCCAAATATAACATATGTTATATGTCATCATATCCTAATTGCATGGTACCGTCTCCGTGGTGTAGTGGTTAAAGTGTCCGCCCAGAGAGCGGAAGGTTGCGGATTCGATCCCCGACCGCGCCGTACCAAAAGACGTTAAAATATGGTACTTGTTGGTCCCTGCCTGGTGCTTGGCATTAATGGGTACAACAAGGACTGGTCGGCTCGGAGTCAGTATAATGTGTCTGAGTGGGGTATTCATGCTTCACTGCCGCATGGTATCTCAGTGGGCTAGCACTGTAAAATCAGCCTAAGTCTGGGCTAGTACAAGCAGCCGCACATACACATACACATGCATGCACGTTGTCATATGAGCGAAATATTCTCAAGCACGAAGTTAAACCCAATTTCACCTCACCTCACCTAAATGCATGGATCAATGATAGTGAGGTCAATCACTAGATTGTCTGATCCAGCCTTGTTGTTTTCTTACCACTAGAGATAAGCCAACCCCCTTATACAGGCTGCTTTTTTTGGTCCTCAAAATCTGGCTTATCTACAGTCATATAGGGTACAGACTGCTCTCATATAGCAGGAGTACACTGCCTAGTGCAGCATTTAACAAATATAACAAACAAACACGTACGTAAGGCAACCTGTTTCACCCTGACAGTCAATGGGGTGTAATGTTTTAGATATAAACATGGTGTAATGTTTATAAACATGATCAAGTCAGTGATGTAAATATATCCATCATTACTGTAGCCTATGGATCCACCACTAATACCAGCAAACTCTGTTGTTTTTAATTTGCTTCACAAACCTCAAACCACAAATATCAGACACAGATCCAGAAATTTTAATAGGATTAGGTTCACAAGTTTAATTGATGCTTTCAGGGTTGTGGGATGTCACATTTTGAACATAATCTTCAGGAGGAAGCGTGTGCTCACATCATTTAATTGATACCTTCACCAGGGTCCATGTTATTTTCAAAAGGGGGTGGAGGGTTCCCCCACTGAGTACGGCCCACTTATGACATTAAATACACCGCAAGAACTGAGAAATCAATATTGTCTATCTGAAGTCATATTGTTCCAAGAAGAAACGTAAGGTACCAATTAGCCGAAATTCAGCCTACAAACTCAGTATAAGATTGTTGATAGTCTTTTTTGATGTTTTGCAGTGTTTGTTACTCATCACTAAAATGGCTTTATGCAGAAGGGCTGTGGTTAAACAGTAGTTACATCACAGATGATTAATAACATATACAAATTAATATCAGTAGTTCAATGTATTATCCTTCAATAAACATTGCCTACCCTACAGCAGCCAGAGTTCCATTGCTGAAGAGGAAGAGGGTGTGTTTGTCTCCGCTTGACACTTGTGACACGTGTCGATACATCAGGAACTTCATCAACTTCGGCTCAAGCTGCAATGACATCAAACAAAAACAGCTTCCTGCATTATGGGTCTGCACTGCATCAAAATTGGGCATAGAGATTCTCCAAACCACAAAAACCTTTCTCTGAATCATATTGCAAGACATTTTGTCAAAATGTTACAAAAAGTGTTGACATTTAATTTCTTTTGCATATTTTGCAAAATTTTGTTAGTGGAAAGCCTTCAAGCTTACTTTCAGAAGATGGAAGGAGGAGTGTGGTTTCTGAAAGTGACTTTGCTCACTCAGGACTTTGAGGTGAGTGAGTGAGTGAGTGAGTGAGTGAGTGAGTGAGTGAGTGAGTGAGTGAGTGAGTGAGTGAGCGAGCGAGCGAGCATGAGTGAGTGAGTGAGTGAGTGAGTGAGTGAAAGCCACTTTGATCAGTATTCCATATATATGGCATGTTGGTTGAACTAGAGAGGACAACCACAAGTGATGCAGGTCACAGATGTTTACCACGAGTAAAGGTGCCAAGCAGCCTAGAAGAATCAACCATTGTCACAGAAAAATAGCATATAGAGGTCATCAAACTAGTGGTCGACAATGTGAGCAACAATCCATGCACTCAGGATAACATTCTCCTGTTCAGCCAGCTGTGTGTATTCATGACAACTAGGCACTGCATGAACTCTAAAACCTCTGTGAGCAATCCATCTGAACTAACAGCACCTGCACCTACAACAACCATAATGAACTGGGGCCAACTTCTGCCCCAAAATTCAAGCAGAGCATCATAATTCCTCAACTGGAAGCCTCCAGTGCTTTTCTCTTCTGGTCAATTTAACATTCTGATATTGATGGTCTTATTTCAGGAACTGTATCAAGAATATGATGCCCTAACTTTGTTGATCACCTGAGATGATTGTCTAGCAGCAGACTGTTCATTTTGGTTAATCGTATTCTATGGGTAATTATAGACCCAACTCTAAAGATACCACTATATGTGCAGCATGCCTAACTAGAGACCACCTCGTGGTGTAGTGGTTAGAGTGTCCGCCCAGAGAGCGTAAGGTCGCAGGTTTGATCCCTGACCACGTCTTACCAAAAGACGTTAAAATATGGTACTTGTTGGTCCCTGCCTGGTGATCAGCATTAATGGGTACAACAAGGACTGGTCGGCTCGGAGTCAGTATAATGTGTCTGAGTGGGGTATTCATGCTTCACTGCCGCATGGTATCTCAGTGGGCTAGCACTATAAAACCAGCTTAAGTCTGGGCTAGTACAAGCAGCCGCACATACACATACACATGCATGCACGTTGTCATATGAGCAAAATATTCTCAAGCACAATGTTAAACCCAATTTCTCCTCACCTCACCTAACTGTAGACACTGAAATGCTATATGAGTGGTGAGAGTAAAAATGTTGATCTAACATGATGAAGCTCTATGCTTGTACACAACACAGCTGTAACACCTTCCTTGATGTCAAGGTTGATACTGACAATGACATTGCTGCATACACTGAGCTGGGATGCATGCAAACAGTGAAAAACACAGAGCCCAGTTGGATAGATCACCACACCGATATGTGTAACACATTTCCCTGCAGCTGCAACCAGAAAGATTACATCTACAGGTGTGGTCAAAGGGAGATAAGTCTGTAAGGCACAGGTGTTGAAGTTGAGATTGGGAAGTGAAGGTGCATGTTTGCTACTTCAAGTACTCAACAAGCCACACTTCAAGCCCTTGAAATTTGGTGTTAGTGTGTGAACATTTAAAAGATTACATGAGCCTGATCAAGTACATGCATTAATAATGACTTTTTAAGCGCTACAGAGTATAAGAGCAGCCTCTTCAATGCTGAAGTAGTCAAACAAACAACATACATAAAAATCAACTTTCTAGTTTCATTGACATTAAAGGTTATAGCTTGTTAATGAATTTGTTTATGATGACATTAAACTTGCTCATAATTTGTACCACAAACATGGTCTATCAGTGATGATATCATCTGATGGATAGTACTTTGAAAACAAAATTTATATTTTTTGCAGAAAAGTAATTTATTACGGTAGGTGTTGACAGAAAGGCAGCATTTGGGTTCTACTTTATCGTGGGGGCTTCCTCCTTAAAGGGTTGTCTATATCAGCAATTACAAAACTGGTTCAAGTACCATGGGCAAGCTTCACTTGACTTGCAGTTTACTAAAATAAAACAAATGGAATCTTGAACTCCTTTATTGGAGTGAGTAAGTGAGTATGGTTTTACGACGCCTTTAGCAATATTCCAGCAATATCACGGCGGGGGACACCAGGAATGGGCTTCACACATTGTACCCATGTGGAGAATCGAACCCGGGTCTTTGGCTTGACGAGCCAATGCTTTAACCACTAGGCTACCCCACAGCCCCCAATTTCATCTGAGTAAATTACCATTGAACACTGTTGCCTTGAATAAGTTATTTGGTTAACAGTGATTTGGCCATATTGAAATAAGTACTGGGTATCCTATGCAGCAGCCTTTTTCTGATGTAGCACATCACCACATGGTCCTACCAAACATGCAGGGTTTTTGTAAATCATATCTGTCCACAGTTGATACTCTCAGATCTTGAACAGAATTTTAACAAAATACAATAAAAAATACTCCTCCTGGACTTATAACCAGAGTCACCTATTAGTGACTATGAGAACTATCACTATCAATTGCCACTATCAATCTTAGAACCAATTACAAATGAAAGTGTATCAGTAAGTTAAGAAAATATGTGTCTTTGCCTAATGTTGCTGGTATAAAAGTTGTCTAGATTCTAATTGTCTTCTACTTTCATCAAATACTTCTGTGCCTTGTTTCTGGTTTCTTGTTCATAAAAGGTATACAATGCAGCCATGATGATGATGGTGATGATGATGATGGTGGTGGTGGTAGTGGTGATGATGATAATGATGAGGGTTGTGGTGGTAGTGGTGATGATGATGATGATGATGGTGGTGGTAGTGGTGATGATGATAATGATGAGGGTTGTGGTGGTAGTGGTGATGATGATGATGGTGATGATGATGGTGGTGGTGATGATGATGTTGGTGGTGGTGATGAAGTGATGATGATGATGATGATGATGGTGGTGTCAAACATTTAATCTGTCATATTAATAGCCCTCATATTAGCCTACTTGTCAGTGATATGATTATTTCAGTAACATCCTCTATATATATATACTTCCATTTATACTGTCATATTGTTTTCTTAAAAGAGCTTTCCATAAATTGTTTATCATTACCTTAGTCTATTTCTGCAAGCAACTGTGACAGATACCAATCAAAATCAGATAATACTTATTAAAGGTTAGTCACAATCAGTCCTCAAGACTATAGAATGTACCTGATTTTCTTTGTAGGTCTTCTCCTTGAAATCATATCCCAACTGAGCATAGAAGTTGTTCCCAAAGCTGTAGGCATGACCATTCTTCAACCAGATGATGGTGTGGCGTCCCCCACAAGCTACCCCTGCAATCTCGCCTCCATCTTCCGTGGGCAGGTGGATCTGGGTGGGTTCCCACTTGGTGCTCACATCGTTACACCCAAGTCTGGAAGAAGGGCAAAATTAAGTGTATCAAGAAGAATGAGTCACAAACAATTTCAGAGTGAGTGAGTGAATCACATCCATCCATCCACCATGAGTCACAAATGCCCTTTACAGTCAGTGAGTCACTTACTCTCTTTGGAGGAGTGTGTGAGTTACATACGCCCCTCAGAGACACTGAGTCACTTACAGACTTTTGGGGGAGTGTGTGAGTTACATACACCCTTCAGAGACAGTGAGTCACATACACCCTTCAGAGACAGTGAGTCACTTACACCATTCAGAGTCAGTGAGTCACATACACCCTTCAGAGTCAGTGAGTCACATACACCATTCAGAGTCAGTGAGTCACATACACCCTTCAAAGACAGTGAGTCACTTACACCCCTCAGAGTCAGTGAGTCACATACACCCTTCAGAGACAGTGAGTCACATACACCCTTCAGAGTCAGTGAGTCACATACACCCTTCAGAGTCAGTTAGTCACATACACCCTTCAGAGTCAGTGAGTCACATACACCCTTCAGAGTCAGTGAGTCACATACACCCTTCAGAGACAGTGAGTCACATACACCCTTCAGAGACAGTGAGTCACATACACCATTTGGAGGAGCGTGTGAGTCACATACACCCTTCAGAGTTAGTGAGTCACATACATTCTTCAGAGTCAGTTAGTCACTCACAGACTTTGGAGGAGTGTGTGAGTCACATTAACTCTGAATGAGTCACACACACCCCTCAGAGTGAGTGAATACAATACACCCATCAGAGTGAGTCAGGCATATGTAAAGCATCAAGAGACAGCTCCATGCATCCTTTAGAGACAGATAGTGAGTCACATACACCTATCAGAGTAAGTATGTATGTAGCATGTAAATGGCCAGGAATATTGCCATGGAGTACAGAAACAGAGAATGGTCAATATATTTTATTTGAAATTATCAACCAAATTCATCAAAATCAGCAGCAGCAGCACATTGATGAGTATATTGCAAACAGGACCACATGGACATGTGTCAAGTAAGTGTTTGTGAATGACAATGGGCAAGGACATACAAACTCCAGTATTGCCTAGCAGCTCATGCCGATGAATGGAATGAGAGAATGGTTCACCTGCTGAGGAACATCAGCCAACTCAACCTATAGTTCATGTACAAACAATCAAGTGTTTCATGATGCTGCCATCATAGCAGCAGATAAAACTTGTCCCATAGCTGGAGTCTAAATCTGACGGCCATGAGAGGATCTATATTGTGTGAATCCACAGGAATGATGCTGTTATACATGCTGTCTATACCGGTTGTTGAACATTGAAGGGATGAAAAATGATGGTAAAAACACATAGCTGTAGCATTTTAAACCAGGGTTTTAGTTGCCAAATACTTGCACCCTGATTGTTCAGCCAGTGTGGGAGAAAACCCCCACATCATTATGCTGTCACCACAACATCCATCAAACTCACATATGCAGTTTGCAGCAAAGCATTCATAGGAATGTCAGTACAACCCAGGACATTCCACACAACATAAATTTTGACTGATAACAGAGTGACTGTCTGGTCAGACATCCTCTGAAATGCTTGAATTGCTGCATCAAACACCTTTGCCACAAATGATGCTGGAGTACGGTATTTGAATCAGTTATGTACCATGACAGAACATGCTGTTGGTACCGATGCCAATGTCTGGAATGGTGAATAGGCCAACAGTGAGCCTCTGTTTCCGATCATCGGAAGTGCTTGCTTCAGTTATCTGTTACACTGTATCACTATGACTTCACAGTTGAACAGTTTCTAACAGATGATGTTTTGGCACCTGAAAAGGACACCTACACACATTACAGGCCTAGTCCAGCTATTTATGCGCAGAACATGCTTCAGCCAGATTCAGTTCAGTTTTGTCTCTGGGACCTATAACCCACAACGTCTTTCAATGGTTTTCAGAGAGTGATCACTGGTAAATTGATTCTGGTCTTGGTCACCATTACAACATACTCTACATTTTACGATATAGAACCAGTAGCAACCTTTGCAGCCAGTAGCAATCTATTCACAACCAGTGCAAATGTCTGTCAAAGTTGACTTCTGTTTTGATTAGGAACAGTCAATTATCAGGATTTCTTCTGAATCCATCAATACGGGTCGGAGTTATCATCTGGAAAGTTAATGCTGAGAGGCAGGACCACCAGACGAAAGAATGGTCAGGGAGGTGATGGATGGCCTGCCAGACAAAAGGGCAACAGATTCAAGGTCAGCGGAGATAAAAGGGGGATAACTGGTGTCCCAATCTAACAAGATCATGTGGCATGTCGACCCATTGGGAACCTGATAGACATGTTTTGATCCCAATCATTGCTTGTGAACACCATCCATGGGAAGACTTTTGGGGAAATACTTGCACCCAAGACAAGATCAAAGAACGTAATAGCCATGTGTAATGCGATTGTATAGAAGGGCACTGGATTATTATTTGTGGGTTGTGTATGCCAGTATGGACATGTCGACCTGTCTGACCAACTGTGAGTCACTACGTAACACTAACTTCTATTGCTGGTCACCCAACCACTGACCATACACATCTGGTCAGGAGTTACAACAAGAAACGTCAGCCTCATCAATCAGTGGTCAGCTGAATATCTGCAGTCAGGACCGAGTAGGGATAAACAGCCTGTGTAATCACTTAATCTTTAACACAGCAAGGTTAAACAGGAGTGATGTGGGTTCAATACCACCTTGAACAATATTCCATATTATTACCTATGAGGGCAAAAATCTCGGGGTTCATATTTTTCATACAATGCCCTTGGGCAAAATATCACTTTGTCATGGTGACGTGACGTCATGAACAATGCTATGACTACACGTTTGTTCTATGATGTTGCCTTCTACATGTGGCGAAGGCAGGTAGCCAGCCTATGCTTGAAAGTAGACTTGGGTTTATTTTCCTCAATTTGACAACTTCGGTTAAAAACAGAACATTATATTCGTTTCCATATCATACTAAGTTGCCCACATGGGCAATCATATAATATCCTCTATGTACTTCGTATCAGTTAGATGTAGGAGGAATAAACAAGGTTAATATGTTGTTATCAATGAACCTTTAATAACGGTTAATGATTTGCTATTGCACCGTGTCAACACAGGAGTTATACACTTGACAAACCAACATAGAAAACAACAATGAAAGGCAAATGTGTTTTTATTGCAAATTTATGGATTCTATAAATGCCTGTGAAGTGCTTCATTCTACATCACTTTATAGATGAGGTAGACGAAATATGCTTGAAGAAGGGGGTCATCTTATACATGGGGTCGCAGCGAAAGACGGTATGTAAGTCTAAGACATTTACCACCTTGGTGAAGCCCATGAGCATGGGCATGGCCATCCCGTTGCACCATACCGACAAATCTAGAAACATAACACGAGTGAATCTGTATTCAAACCCAGTATCTTAATTGATCAGCTGCAGTATTATATTAGCTGCAAATCTGATCAGCTGCAGTATCTGTAGTATCATATCTGTGGCATCTGATCAGCTGCAGTATCTGTAGTATCATATCTGTGGCATCTGATCAGCTGCAGTATCTGTAGTATCATATCTGTGGCATCTGATCAGCTGCAGTATCTGTAGTATCATATCTGTGGCATCTGATCAGCTGCAGTATCTGTAGTATCATATCTGTGGCATTTGATCAGCAGTAGTATCTGGCCGGCTGCAAACTCTCATCAGCTGCAGCATGAGATCAGCAGTGGTATCTGGCCGGCTGCAAACTCTCATCAGCTGCAGCATGAAAACAGCAGTGGTATGCTATCAGCTGTAGCATCAAAACAGCAGTGGTATGCTATCAGATGCAGCATCAAAACAGCAGTGGTATGCTATCAGATGCAGCATCAAAACAGCAGTGGTATGTTATCAGCTGTAGCATGAAAACAGCAGTGGTATGCTATCAGCTGCAGCATCAAAACAGCAGTGGTATGCTATCAGCTGCAGCATCAAAACAGCAGTGGTATGCTATCAGCTGTAGCATCAAAACAGCAGTGGTATGCTATCAGCTGTAGCATCAAAACAGCAGTGGTATGCTATCAGCTGTAGCATCAAAACAGCAGTGGTATGCTATCAGCTGTAGCATCAAAACAGCAGTGGTATGCTATCAGCTGTAGCATCAAAACAGCAGTGGTATGCTATCAGCTGCAGCATCAAAACAGCAGTGGTATGCTATCAGATGCAGCATCAAAACAGCAGTGGTATGCTATCAGCTGCAGAATCTGACCAGTGGTAATATCTGATCAGCTGTGGAATCACATCAGTGGTAATATCTGATCAACTGTGGATCACACCAGTGGTAATATCTGATCAACTGTGGAATCAGATCAGCAGTAACATCAGATGAGCTGCAGAATCGGATCAGTAGTAATATCTGATCAACTGTGCAATCAGACCAGTAGTAATATCTGATCAACTGTGGAATCAGACCAGTAGTAATATCTGATCAACTGTGGAATCAGACCAGTAGTAATATCTGATCAGCTGTGGAATAACACAAGTAGTAATATCTGATGAACTGTGGATTAACACAAGTAGTAATATCTCATGAACTGCAGAATCTGATCAGCAGTTGCACCACTGCAACACTGGATCACCTGCACTATCAGTCTCACCTGCACTATCAGATCAGCTGTCATGCCTGATCAGCTAGAGTATCAATTCAGCATCCAGCCAGTGGCTGAGAGAATGAGTATAGATCAGAATAAGACCACCTCTAAGTCAGCCATCCTAAAATCAACATCCATTATCACCTCTCAGCCCCTTACAAATATTAAGGAAGTAGATATTGGGGACATTAGGAAGGACTATCCAATGACGTATAATCAACCAAGTCAATGAGCCTGACCAACAGACCCATTTAGCCACCCCTTACAACCATCAAAGATTACTACTGGGGCCTATTCTAACCCACAATCCACACGGGGGTCATGACTTGTCAATGTGTTAACTCTCAAT